CTCCACAACATCCCTTATGTCACTATTCAGTCCATGCAAGAAACGTGCCATAGTAGCCTCCCGATCTTCACTAACATTTGCTCTAATCAAGGAAACCTCCATCTCTTTATAATACTCATCTACACTCTTGTTACCTTGTGTAAGCCTTTGAAGTTTATTGTGAAGGTCTCTATGATAATGGGAAGGAACAAATATTCTTCTCATTAGCCTTTTCATCTCCACCCAACTATCCACCAATGGTTCTTCATTTCTTACCCTCTCCTTTTGCAATTGGTCCCACCAAATGAGAGCATAATCACTAAACTCCATGGCTGCCACCTTCATTTTCTTTTCTTCAGTATAGTCGTGACATGAAAATAAATGCTCAATCTTCATTTCCCACTCCAAATAGGCCTCCGGATCACTTTTTCCTTTAAAAGATGGTATATTAAGCTTCACCCATTCAATTCTGTCCTCTCTAGCAACATTCTCATTATCTCTTCTTCTCCTTCTTTCATCCCTCCCTCTATGTCTATCATCATCATGATTTTCCTGATTTTCTATTCTCTCAATCCTCTCATATAACTCCTCTGTATGTTCCCTCATCATCCTTTCCATCTGAGTTGTAATGGCGTCAATTAGCAATCTGTTATCTCCCGTAGGAGGAGGAGTACCTTCACCTGCACCTGCCATATTTTAAGCAAAAGAACAAGAGTAAAAAAGAAATTGGACCTCACCACTCGCTCACGTGTTTACACTCTTAAAAAGTATCACTCGTGTTTGTTGCTCTCTATTAGGCTTTTGTGTAGTGTGCTCTCTTGCCTTTTTCCTCTCAATAGCTCTCTTTAAGTTCTTAACAGAATCTCCAAGAACACTCAAGAGTACAATCCCAAACTCAAGAATTCGTAATGACACAATACAAATTGAAAATATGTCAAAGAAGGCAAGACAAAGAAAACCAAACCAAATTGAAGGAATTATTCAAGGAAGACACTTTGGACCTGATTTGAGAGTAGTAGTGTGTAACTAAGCTTAAATAACAAGTAGCTGTATAGCATATATATATATATATATATATATTTTTTTTTTTTTTTTCAACTTTTTTTTTTTTTTTATAAAACCTGACGCTTCAATAAAATAGAATTTGTAATTTTGGAATGAAAAATTTAGATTGCAGTAATGCTAAACTGAATTTGATTGAATTCTCCACAAAACAAGCTATTATTTAACACACTAACAGCATACTACTCAAGGAACAAGGATTGAAAGGATTAAAAATCAAGAACAATGATGAACATATGATGAACCTTAAGAACACAAGTGCATAAATTATGAACACAACAAGAAATTGAAACAAACAGAATATCAAAGGAACAAATTAGGAACCAACAACAAAGGCTAAAACAGAATTGCACAATTCAAAATTAAAAACACAAATACTAGGGATTAGGGTTACCAAATGTGTGATCAGAATTGATGGAAACAATGGAGAAAATCAAACCCAATTCCAATCCTAGAACTGAGCTCTGATTACCACATGACAAACTCTTTGGGCTCTTCTTCCTTTAACGGTTATAATTTATTAAAAATTAATAATTAATTAATAAGTATAACCCAATAATTTTCAAATAAGTATAACTGTTAGATTAATGAAAATCTCCGGTGACTAAGTTGGTCGTAAATGTGGTAAATTTTTTTGGTGGTAAGTATATCATTTCCCATATATATATATATATATATATATATATATATGGTTTGTTGTTTTTCCTGTCATATGAGATAAATTTATCTCCTGCAATTCCAAAACTGCATCATTTTGAGAGTTAAGAAAATTAATGAATGATGTTTTGGTAAAATTCATACAATAAAGAAATAAACAAAATTGCTGATACATCTTCATTAATTCTCCTAACCCTCAAAACGATATAGTTTTGGGTTGCAGGAGATCACTTTATTTTCAATGACAAAAGAAACAATAATTCCACACACACATATATATAAGAGACACTTTTTCTGCAGCGGCTGTAGACAGCTGCTATTTGCAGCTGATACAAAAAAGTGGGCTCTACTGCTTTTCTTAAAAAAAGAGAGGTAGAATACGGAACCGTATCCTAGGATCTGAATCCGTATTCTAGCTTTCTGTATGTACAGCGGCTGCAGAAATAATTTTGCCATATATATATATATATATAGAGAAAAAAATTTCTCCGGCAACCCCAAAACTACGTTGGTTTGTTTATTTATTTATATATATATGTGTGTATATATATATATATATATATATATAGGGAAAAATATTTCTTCGACAACTTAAGATAAGTTTATCTCTGGCCACCCCAAAACTACGTTGTTTTATTTATTTATTTCCTTATATTAATTGATTCACCTTTGAATGGTTATAATTCTCTGTTTCTCTCTCTTCCTTCATTATCATTGATCCATCTTTGTACGGTTATGATTTAGTAGCCGGAGATAACTTTATCTCCGGCAGCTTGAGAAATGATAAGCTCTCATTTTCTTACTACCAAATCTTTAACCGTTGATTTCCGTAAATTTAATAGTTATAATTAATTACTAGGTATAACCCAATAAATTATAACCGTTAGATTGGCGAAAATCAATGGTTAAGATTTGATAATAAGAGATAGTAAGAAAAAGAGGTAGTAAGTATAATCTCCCTTATATATATATATATATATAGGGAAAAGTGTTTCTAATTTTAAATGACAGAAAGTTATGTCATTTTAAGAAAGATACAGACACAGAAAATTTGAATTTTAAATTAAAAAAACCACTCACTTTCTCTCTCCCATGATTTCTGTTTTTCTGTGTCTATCTCTCTCTTAAAATGACATAACTTATGTCATTTAAAATGACAAACACCAAACCCATATATATATATATATATATGAGGTAGGATCCTTTGACACTGGTGTCAAATTTAAAATTTGACATCTCATTTGAGAGCCGTTAAATAAAAAAAGATCAATGGTATCACATGCTTACAAATCAGAGTCGTTGATCTTTTCCGATCTAACGGCTCTCAGATGAGGTGTCAAACTTCAAACTTGACACCGGTGTCAAATGATCCTACCTCTATATATATATATATATATATATATATATATATATATATATATATGGCGCAGGATATTCTTACACCGGTAAGTGTTAGAAGTCTTACACTCAATCTTGACCATTGATTCACTTGTATCCAATGGCTCACATTACTAAAAAAATTTGAGCCCTTAGATATAAGTGGGAATAACGGACAAGATTAAGAGTGTAACTTACACTGATGTAAAATGATCCTGACCATATATATATATATATATATATATATATATAAGTGGGAATAATATATATATATATATATATATATATATATATATATATATATATATATATATATATATATAGGGGTAGGATCCTTTGACACCGGTGTCAAATTTAATGTTTGACATCGGTGTCAAATTTAATGTTTGACACCTCATATGAGAGTTGTTAGATCAAAAAAGATCAATGATGTTACATGCTTACAAAACAGAGTCGTTGATTTTTTTTATCTAATGGTTCTCGGATGAGGTGTCAAACTTTAAATTTGACACTGGTGTCAAAGGATCCTACTTCATATATATATATATATATATATATATATATATGAATATCTCTGTGTATGGGACATAATATACTTACCACCACAAAAATTTATCACTCTTATCATCAATTTAATTATCGTTGATTTCCATTAATCTAACGGTTATAATTTATTGAGTTTATTAGGAATTAATAATTAATTAATAAGAGTGACTCAATAATTCTAAATAAATTATAACGGTTAGATTAACAGAAATTAATAATAATTAGATTGGTTGTAAGAGTAATTAATTTTTATAGTGATAAATATATCTTTTCCCAATATATATGTATATACATATATAGTCTAATATTTCTCTAGCAAATAGAAAATAATTTTAGGGTTATATTTATTTCATTCAACATGAGATTAACCAAATTCCTACCCACAACAAAGATGAGTCTCACTTTTATTTTTTCTTTTTTTAATTATTTGTGAGTGTCTCTTATCATTTTATTTCAGTAATGTAAATGACCTATCTCCAATAAGATAAGAAAAACATTTCCCATAATTTTATTGGTGTAATGGACCTCACTTTTTGGTTTCACCGAGTTACGTGGGTACGAAGTTATCTCCTCTGTACATTTTCTAAAAAAAAATAAAATAAATGAAAACGAAAAAGATAATAAGTGGATTAGTGTCTGCTGCTGCAAGACGAGAAATTTTTTCTCTTGCTTGTTCTTAAAGCTTTCATTTTATCAGTGTCTAAACAAAACAACCTTCAGCTCTCAAAGCTTTCATCGTCTCAGGTATTGGCATTGCATGCCCCCCACTTACCCCCAACCCCCCTTCTTTTATCTGCACTATGATGTTTGTATTCTATGTTTCTGTTCATTTTGATAATTTTTCTTTCTTTTCATCTCTGTAATTGTTATGTTTCTGACCTTCATTTGATACAAAAAAAAATAAAAAATAAAAAATAAAAAATGACACGTGTGGCTCTGGGACTTTAATCCTAGTGGCAGCATCTAAATGTGTAGCATATTTTCAATATACAGGGAGCCTTATAAAAATCATAAAGGTAGGGACTTTAATCCTAGTTGCTATATCTAGCACTTGAAAATATTTTCCTGTTTGTGAGCTTGTTGAGATACTGTTTAATCTCAAAAGTGGTTCCACAGCCCTTCCCATTTCAACTTTATAGTAAAGTTCACAACTTTCCTAAGTTTCTTGACTTCTTCTTTGTGAGTGGTAATGGCTAAGCAATTTCCTTAATCTTTGTGTTCAAGAATCCTTACCAATGCTCCATTTTCATTATATATATGTATATATATTATATGCTGCTATAGAATAATCATTTTCAGTATATATATATATATATATATATATATATATATATATCATGAATTGTTTTTTTATGCAGGCACTTTGATTTTGTATCCAAATGTTGAATCATAGTTACAAGGAGGCTCTGAGCAAGCAGAGAGTGACAATTGTGAGCCTTCAGAATGAAATTGCTGACAAGAACCACAAATTAATGGAGATGGAGCATAATCACAGTGAGACTCTTGCTTGGGCGCGTAGGCTCATTGTAGGGCTTACAGAGAATGTTAATTCCAAAGAAAGAAGTCTGCTTGAGATGGAATGCAAGTACAATGAGTGTTCGAACATGATTCAGAAGTTGAAGAACGAGAGAGATATGCTGAAGGAGAGATGTCACAAAGGTATATTTTATATTCCAAGACATAGGGAACCACTAAATATTGAAATATACCGATGGAAGTGGAAATGTTATCTATTTGTAAAGGATCATTTCTTTCTGGAAGACTTGCTAGAATTTAAATTTTTCTTCAATATATAAGCCCTTTTATTTGCAAATTCTACATGGAGACAGTACTTGATTTTGGTTTGAAACTGCTTTTTGCCATGAAGTCATTTGTTTCTGTAAAAAGCTACTTTAGTCCCTGGTTGAATTATATGCTATGCCTATTCTCCTCCTTAGGATTCAACACCTAATCTTCCATCTCTAAACTTTTTTATGTGATGTACTTATTTCTCCTGCATTTTCTTTTGTCCCATACACTGGCTTACTTCTGCACTATGAGTTGCTTTTAGAAGAACATTGAAATTTTATTGTATATGTTTCCTTTATTTTCTTCTGTTGAACTTATGCTTTATATTTGCTAGAATTACGACATATGAAGGTCATGAACTCTAATGTGAATCATGACGTGGAATGCATAAAGAAAGAGCTTGGGCAGCTTGCCAAGCAATTGGAGGAGAGTAAAGCCCTAAATGATCAGCTGCAGAAGAACTTTATTGAGGAGATTCAAAAGGTAAGTAACCATCTCCCTCTATATGTCTGAATAAATCATAGGAAGCTTGTGTGGTTTTCTATGATTAGACCCCTAGTCTATTTCTTGTAGCAATTTAATTTTATTTACTTGGGTGAGATTTGGAGTTTAGGCATTTTTCTGTCTTTAACTTAGCAATGAATATGAAATGGTTATTTGACTTACTTTTAGAACACTGAGTACCAGTTTTGAGCAAAACTAACTGAGACGGTTCCTGGAAGCTAACTTCTGCTTGATCCATATCTTCAAATCAAAATACTTATTTTGCAGCTATATTTTCTATTCAAGCTGGCAAAAGAACATGAAACCATATCTGCTAAAGTGGTAGAGATTCTTAAGAAAGACTAGTTATACGATCTTCAGACAATAACAGACAGGCCAGCAGGAAGGAATTAACAGAAAAGAGTATGGTGGTTGCAGACATTTTATATGTTAAAATTCATGGTAAAGATATTGTGTCAATTTGTTGATGCCCTGCTAAGTTTCTAGCAAGCTGGGTAACTGCTTTAATTTCTTTTTCTTTTCTTTTTTTAAGAGAAAAAAAAGTCAAAACAGAACTCTCAAATCTGGAACTGAAATTGAAAACATTGATAAAATCATTAAAAACATATTTGACATGTTTAGGTATCATCTAATTCTATTTTCCTTTATTTGGAGGTATTGCTACTTTTGAGTCTCAAAGTAGTTGTCAGCACATCTCTTTTCCAGCCCTTTTTGTTGAATTGACCTGTGTTCTTTTTGTTGAGGGTTGCTAACTTGGAGTCACTATGAGCTGTTCATGATTGCAATTTACCTCTTACTCTCTTACATCTTAAATGCCATCAATACTTTTTTGAATGCATTGACTTCCTTTAGTTAAGAGCATGACCCGATTAAGACATTCTCTTCATTTAGTTTATAGATTTTTTACATTGTGATGCTCAATATGGTTGTCTGCTTGAATGCTTCTAACTTCTATTTAAGTTAGGATCCTCGTTGAATTATTTTCTTCCTGATTTCCCATTTTATTGTCACAGTTGAAAATAGTGATACAAGATCAGAGTCATGTAGAAAATGGTGGCAATTTGAACACTCAAATTAATGCTTTTAGTAATCAATTAAAGGACAAAATGGAATACCTGGAGCATGTGGAAAACCTTTACAATTCCGTGATAGTTAAAGAGCACCAGCATAAACAAGAATTACTTGATGCTCGTAAAGAATCTGTAAATGTAAGATTTCATCCCTCCTTATTCTGCCACACTGTAAAGACATTCCGTGATTGATCAGTCAAAATGAATATTCTTTTACTAAAATCTATCTTCATAATGTGGTGACAGATGCAAGGTGTAAAATATCATGACCTATTATCTCACCGTTTTGCCTTGTAGAGTTTACAAGATATATGCACAGGTCGATCTCAACTAGGAATTAAAAGAATGGGAGAATTAGATCCAAAACCTTTTCAAGATTTGTGCTTGCAAAAGTACTCATGTGAACAATGGAAGGAAATATCTGCTATGTTATGTTCATCATGGGAAGAGAATCTGAAGAATCCAGCTTGGCATCCTTTCAAAATAATTGAGGTCAATGGTGTTTTACAGGTACACGACTACAAATTTTCACTATGTATCCCATGGCTGTCATCTTTATTAACTGAAAAAAGGTGAAAAGATCATATGGGGAGCATATAAGTATTCAATCTTTTGCATTACATGTGTACTCTTTGATATCATGGTTGAACAGGGGGGCTTTTTGGATTGTTCCATTCCATGATGTGTCAAATAACTCTGTTAAATCTAACAAGAGGATATGATCATCTGGGAGAAGAATTAGACTCAAAGCAACAAATAATAATTGTCTACTGATAAAGCTTGAAGAATGAATTTAATGGTTGTCAGAATGTAGAATGAGTAGCAGTTCTAGAACAACCATAGAATTTCGATGAATTGATTTGTAATTTAAGTGTTGTCAAAAGTACTTCTATATTATCTGAGGTGGGTTTAACTTAAGAAAGAGAGTTGTCATGATTGATGGAGAACATGTATATGTATACTTAATAGGGGTAAATATTTGTAGCTGGTTGTTCAAATGCAGCTTGTTTCTATAATGGAGCCCACCACTTTGAAACCAGGAAGTATTTTCCTTATAATGGTGGTGTTGCCTTGCTAACAGTTATGCAAGTATGCGCGCAAGTATACGCGACAACAAGTAATATAGGGCTTTTGTGAGTCCCAGTTATCGCTCCCACAAGGATCTTTGGCGTTTTTGACTTTGAATGAAAATTGTAATTGCTATAACTGAATCTAATCTAAAAAGAGAGTAAAAATAAAAATAAAATAAAAGCAAAACTAATCTAAAATAGTTTTGAAAATTTTCTGAATTAAATTCTTGAGCTAAAGGATGAAAAATAGTAGAAAGCAGTTTAAGTATCTGATGTAAAAAGATTTTTATATAAGAAAAAATGTAAAACAGAATGGTGATTGAAAATTTAAAATCAGTGGAAAAGAAAACTGAGTTTGCGAAAATGCTTGGAAAATTAGGTTGAGCTTCGGTTTACCTTTCCCAACAACACTGGAATGAAAGACAATTACAGATTATTAAAATTCAATTCTCAATTAACGGATCACTTTTTGTTGATTTTAATCCCTTAAAATCATTTTATCCACAACTTTCATTCACACATCCCTGTGCTAAATGAAGTGAGGACTCTTGAATCACAAGTCCAAAGTTACATGGTGGCTGCCCTTATCCCTAAGTAACAACCCTTGAATGCTCTCACAATCAAGTCCGTGTGCTTAATGCATTTTCCAGAATTAGTCAATCTCCCGATGACTACTTCCTAACACAACATCTACCATCAAGCCTCAATGACAGAATGTTTAAATACAAAGCATGACATTAAACAACTGAGAATCAAAGTTTAACAAAAACAATTAACAAACATCCATAACTGAGGTTCGGGTACCTAGACCCAACCTTAAAAGGTTTAGCTCATACCCATAATGGTTGAGCTACAAAAACAGCAAAATGAAAATGAAAAATTACAGATGAATTAAAGTGCAGAAAACGTAAAACACAGCCCGAGTCCTATTCACCAGAATAGCCTCGGTACTGTGCTGACAAGTTCTAATCAAAACAAAGTAGCATCTATTTACAGTACCATGAAATACAAAAATAAAAATGAAGAAAAATGGAGAAGAAGAACGATTACAGCAGAAGGTCCCTTGCTCCTTTTATATCAGCTCCACTGCATGCAATAGCTCTGAAACCCTTGGATCATCTTCCACGTGGCTCCTCTCACACGATGAGATTGTGGCTAGGGTTTGCAAGTCTCAGCTTTTTTTTCTTTTATTACGCTGTGAGTCTTTCTTTCTCTCTTCTTTCTTTTCTTTCGCTTTCTTTCCTTGGGCTTCTGAGTTGCATTAAAAATTCCAGCCCAATTCTTTTCTTCTTAGCTTTTCTATTCTTTTCTTTCTTCCTTTGGGCTCTTCTGACTAGTATGGTAAAAGTCCAGCCCACTTCTTTGTCTTCTTTCTTTTTTTCTTCTTTGCTTGGACAATATCAACAAGTGGGCCTGAAAAATAAAATAGACAAAAAGTATATATTTGTTAAGTCCCATTAGCATTTAAATCAACAACAATTCAGCTCTGATAATTGGGGTGTCTATTACACAAAAAGTATATATTTATATACATTTTCACAATAAAAACCATATGTTTTAAGTCCCATTTCATGGACTTATCAGGTGGCTTGTTTCAAATGCTAAATAAAACAATGTGGAGTCATTGTGTTGAGATCTGATGATAATTTCAGGAAATAGTAGATGAAAATGATGAGAAATTGAAAGGACTGAGGAATGAGTGTGGTGAAGAGGTATACAAGGCTGTAGCAAATGCTTTAATGGAAATAGAAGAATACAATCCAAGTGGAAGGTATCCAGTCCCTGAAATTTGGAACTGGAGGGAGGGAAGGAAAGCCACTTTGAAAGAAATTATCCAGTATATTATCAGGCAATTGAAGACTCACAAGCGCAAAAGAAAGTAGAAGTTATTTCTCTCAGGTATTGTAAGTATTTTAAATTTCATTCACCAATATATTATCAGGTTTTCCATTTCCCTTTACCAACTTTTCCAATTCCCTTAATAGGTTCACAGGCATGTAATTGATAAACCAAAAATGGAAATTGTAATCAACCAATATAGAAGCAGCTATACAACCATTATGTTGGAGAATGAAATTCTTGTTTGCCCTTAATTCATTGGCAATACTTTGTGTGTGAATAACATATTTACTGATGTTTCTTTCTTATTGTCCAACAGCTAGACGCGGTATTTATGTTATGGGAAATATGTATCAAATGCTTGGAAGATCAGAAAAGAGGCTTAACTACCCAAACACATGAAAAGGGTGTTAAACATGAGGACATTTTGTTGGTGATAAATTCTCTAGCTATCCATCTATGTATAGTTTGCTGCTTTTGAGATCGAACTTGCTGATAAATTACATGAAAAAATATGTAAATGTAATATAGATGGTTTCATCAAAAGTCAGACAAACTCTACGAGAAAGTGGTTGCATCTCTGTGGTACAGAGTTGATAACCTACTTTTTCTAGTACAATGTTTGTGGAGTCTCGCTCTTGTTAGTATTGAGATATACCTAATAATATTTAGTAGTAGTGAGGTTTACTGGAGAAGTCATCCAAATGCTTCTTTTTTGTTTGATTGAATGTTTGGAAGTTTTTGTTCAATTTTTCTAAAACAAAGCTAAAGCTGAGAAACCAATTAATCTGTAAGTAACTCAATATCAACAGTCTTTGAGCGTAAGTAATTCCTACTCATGTACACAGTGATATTCAACAATTATTTACTCTGTAAAGAACCAATTCAACTCAAAAGCTTAAGCTGTTGGTTGAGGCTACATTAAGAAAGTTCACAAGAGAAAGTGGGGGACGGCGAGGCTCTGATACCATATAAAGAACCTTGGGATACACCACTCCAAAAGCTAGCTCAAAGGATAGGAGTGACCAAGACCTTATAAATTCCACATTAGTTGCACATACAACCAATGTGGGACTATATATTTCTATAAAGAACCAATAGCTGGTGGGTGAGGGTTTTTTAATGGTTTTATATATTTCAACACATCCTCTCACACGAGAGCCTACTGGGCTTGAAGGGTGGACGATGCACAGGTCCACTTACCTGTGCAAACAAAGAAATTCCACTTGAAAGAAAGTGGGAGGCGATGAGGATCGAACCCGGGACACAAGGCTCTGATACCATGTAAAGAACCAATTCAACCCAAAAGCTTAAGCTGTTGGGTGAGGCTACATTAATGATTTAATATATCTCAACACGCTCTCTTACACAAAAGTCCATTGGGCTTGAAGAGTGAACAATGCAACAGACCCAGTCTACCTGTGCTAAGAAACGTCACAAGAGAAAGTGGGGAGCGGCGAGGCTTTGATAAAGAACAAATTCAACCCAAAAACTTAAGCTGGTGGGTGAGGGCTTTTTAATGGTTTTATATATCTCGAGATAGTCAATGGCCTCTTGAGTGAGTATCAATTTTTTTAGCTCCTCCTTTATTGGTCTTTGTTGGCAGGTACCTGTAACATATACAAGTGAATCAATCATTAATTCAAAAAATGGATAGAAAAATAGTAATTTTTTTTTTTTTTGTAAATAAAGAGGGGCTGAGCCCCAAAAAATAGTAATTTTTAGTGCTGTGATCTATATACATTGTATAGATAACAAGATGCCCACATAAGCTAAGTGACAAGTGAAATTAAGTAGTCTAACATCACCATAAATTACTTAAAATCATTCACAGCCATTATTTATTTTGGATTATTTGGGCTGTATATAAATTTTGGATTGAATGTGTAAAGTTATTACGCCTAAATTCTGTAATTATGAGTGCTGTTGTTGTATAAAAAAATGGACTATTGTATGGGAACATTTTTCTATTAACTTAAAAATAAAATCTTTTTTATAGGTTTGTGAGCATGCCCTACGTTGCACCGACACTGACACGGGACACGATACGATATGCCGACACGTTAATTTTAAAAAATGTTATATTTTGACACGTTAAGACATTAAATAATATTTTTAATATATATAATATAATTTGTATTTAATACATATAACAGTCCATAATAAGTCATATAATCAATAAAATACTCAAATTTCATAATATAAATATAAACAAAATTAATTTTTCGTACCTTGTTAATTTTTCATGTCAAATTTCATAATAGAAAAAAATTGATTTATAAATTATTTTTCCATGTTTAGTTAATAAAATAAAATTTTAGACTTAAAAAAAAAAAAACATGTCGGATGCGTGTCGGAAAAAATTGATCGCATGTCAGAACGTGTCGGAACGTTGACCGCGTGTCCCAAAATGTTGATTGCGTGTCGGAACGTGTTGGAGCGTGTCAGTGTCCGACATATATCTTTTCAAAAATTTTGCGTGTCCGTGCTATGTAGAGCATGCCTATTTATTGCAAGATCAATAATTTATTTTAAAAACTTCTAGACAAATTTTGTGCATTATACCTTATGAATTATATAATTACTGGACACGCCAATAATTTATTTCGAAAGTTTAAATACAAATTTTATGCATTATACATGAATTATATAATTAGTGGACACGCCCTTCCTGGAAAACCATTATCTTGACTATGGTTGCTTTTAGTTGCAATCGGCCAATCGCACAAGAGCTTTCAATTACTTGCCTTGGTTGCCCAGTTAATTAATTGGAGTGTTGTGGAAATTTTGACTCACACTCTTTTTTGTTTTTTCTAGTGAATTTTCTTATGTAATTTAATTTCATGAAAAAATTGATGGGACAAATCATGATGATTGATTTGAGTAATTGCTGACTCTTCTTTCCCGTGCTAAGACCGACGGCTAGATATGAAGAGATAGAACTGAAGAAATACATATAAAATTTTATTAAATTATTCTAATTAATTAAATAAGAAATATTATGTGTTTCTACATTTTAATTTTTTAAAATTAAAAAAAATAATAATGAAAAGAATTGTAAAAAGCAATGTTTTAAAAATCGGAACGGTCATCAATTCAGTTGAGATATACTGGTAGGAGTGAAAGTGGGCTGGATTGGGTCAAGCTTTGTCTTGAAAAGCTCAAGTCTATACTAAAAAATTTCAATTTGACCTGGCCCGAACCTAGTATGAGTCTAAATGTTAGCCTGACTTGACCCGTTTATAAAAAAACAAATGATCTGTCTTGGCTCGTTAGCCTGTTAATTTTTAACTTCCAAGCAAAACCATGAATCAACTAAATAAAATATTCAAATTCTTTTGCTAAAACAAAAATAACAATTTCAACGTCCAAACAGAACCATGAATCGTAACAAAACTCATCACAATCTGCATTTAAGTCACTTTCAAAAGCAAAATGCTCAAACTAAATAACATATATTTCATCGGATTCAACAAACAAATCTATACTATGTAAATTAAAATAACTACATGAATCCAACAACCATATTATGATGCTTGTAGTAGCCAAAAACTTCTCTTCATGTTCTCTCCCCTACAAATACAATTCCAAGATTACATAAGTTGGCAAATAATTTGTAAATGTAGAAAACAAAAATCAAGAATAGAGAATAGAAACAAAAAAAATAAGATTAAGAAATAAGAAATATTTTAATAGATTCATATAGGCAATCTCACATGCCGAGATGTTGATTCCTCCTACACAAAAAATAAAGTCAATTTTCTATTAAAATTTAATCGAATATAATTAATTTATAAAATAATTTCAATTAATTATATTTATACCTTTTGTTTTTTTCTTCAAGTCATACTTATTACATAGCCAATCTCCGTCGTATATTAAAACTTGGATGGTATATTCAGCCAAGCTAGAACGATAGGCATCAATAACTCTTCCTCCAACACTAAATGTTAATTCAGATGGTACTGTAGAGATTGGTACAAATCATCTGCCACTTTTAAAGATAATATTGGTGAGGGAACAAACCTAAGTCCTTTCAACCCCTACTTAGGTAGGGGTGAAAATGGGCTGGGTTGGGCCAAGCTTTGTCCCGAAAAGCCCAAGCCTACGTCAAAAATTTTCAATTTGGCCTAGCCCAAGCCTAGAACGAGTTTAACTGTTAACCTGGCTTGTCCCGTTTATAAAAAAACAAATGGTCTGGCCTAACCCATTAGCCTGTTAAATTTTAATTTTCAAGCAGAACCATGAATCAACTTTACAAAATACTCAAATTCTGTTGCTAATTCAAAATTCACAATTTCAACGTCCAAACAGAATCATGAATCACAATAAAACTTATACAATCTGCATTAAAGTCATTTTCAAAAGCAAAATGTCAAACTAAAAACCATATATTTCATTAGATCCAACAAACAAATCCATACTATGTAAATTAAAATAACTACATGAATCCAAGAAACACATCATGATGTTTGTAGTAAGTATAATATCTCCCAAAAATCTTTTAATATATTCATATACACAATCTAACATGTTGAGATATTGGTTCTTTCTACATAAAAAATAAAGTCAGATTTCTATTAAAATTTAATCGAATATAATTAAGTTTTAAATAATTGAAATTGATTAATTCATAATTTTTGTTTTTTCTTCAAGGCATACTTATTCTATTTTATTTTATTTAAAATAAATAGTACTATATAGGCTTATAGGCCAGACATTGTGAAAGTGGGCCTATGGCCTTTTTATTAAACAAGTTTTTTCAAGGTCCAAGTCCGGCCTATTTTACGAAATATACTAGGTCAGGTCTGGCCTGACGTAGGCCACTGTAGGCCGGCCCGGCCCAGTTTCACCCCTACTCACATGCACCAACTGAACTATTACAATTGGTACTATTATGAATAATATTATTTTATTTTATTTAAAATAAATAATATAATATAGGCCGGAATGTAGGCGTATAGGCTCGGTATGTAAAAAAAAAACTTTTCACCTACTTTCTAAATAGGCTTCTTTAAAAGTTTGAGTCTGTCCTATTTGACTATATATAATAGGCTGAGCCCGACTTGATATAGGTTAGGCCGTAGGCACCCCGACCACTTTCACCCCTAGGTACTGGGTCATTAGATCAGTGATTCAACCGGATTCAATCGAATTTCAAAACAAATATTAAATTACGAACATTATCTCTAATAAATAAAAGTGATGAAGTGGTAAGTATTAAAAGTTCGAATCCTATTACTTACAAAATATATATGTTTTACACAATTTAACATAAAATTGGTTGAAACCGATTTTGCACAATGTATATATGAACACGATTTAACTCAATCGTAAGGGACATAAAATGTTTAAATTAGTAAGAAGGATCATATAAAATTCAATTTGAGAGATCATTACATCCACTTAATGAATGAAAATAAACTTAGTCAATAAAATAACGATTCAGTGAAAAAAAATAATCACTTATTATTATTATTCAATGATACACATTCACAAATATTTTTATAACTTCATGTATTCTTACATATAAAAATCATTTAGATAGAGACCATTGTATCAACTAAGCAAACTATAAACATTTATTCACTAAAAATATTAAATCATTGGCAAATTTCTTCTAAGTTTTATGAATTTAATATAAAACTTACTTTGTAACTGTTAGTCATTCACTGAAGATAAATAACTACACAACAAAAAGCAGCCTTAGTTAAATTTCTTCCTAACTTCATATATTTAATATGTAACTTCATTTATAATTGTTGATCTTTAAGTTTATAACAAATAACCATTTATTACCAAAGAAAAACCATTGTTAGTTGATTTAAATAAAAATGATTAATTTAATTTTTTAAAATATTTAAAAATAGCCTTTTTGATCCGTGCACTGCAAAATCATAGATATATTACCGATTTAATTTTTTTGATAATTATTTATCAAGATAACGTGAAAAGACTTGTATTGCGTTTAAGTCGTGCATTATCTTACTGTGCAAAACCCAAAACGCATCTGCCACAATGCCACACTATGTAAGGGGGGTGTGTGCAATTGAACGCACACTGCTAAAATACGCGTCTTGCATTGCACTAACTTTTGCACAAGTCGCGTATAAGATGATGCATCACTTAAAAACAATGTTATTAAATTCGACTCAATCAGGGTATTGGGTTATTGGTTCAATTGGTAAGAACTGATGAACCCAGTTAAATATATATATAAATATTTATTTTATACTTAAAAATTCACAAAATACTCAAACACATGTAAAAAATGATATCAATTCTAAATATTTTGATTCAACCCGTGAGTCGTTTATTGAACTGATTGACCCGGTTAAATATATACTAATCTATATTTTATACTTAAAAATTCACAAACATACTCAAACACATATAAAAAAAGATATTAGTTCTAAATATTTTAATATGAGAAATAAGGACTTATTTAGTCTCATTTTTTATGAGAGAATGAATTTTAGGGTGTGTTTGGTACAAGGTATTTTTTGATATTACTGAAAAGTTACATTGGTAATAATAACATGTTTGGTACAAGGTAACCGAAAATGTTTCCTAGACATCTTTGTTTACCGGTATTCTCGTTTACAAAGAAAAATGTCATTACAGATTACAAAAAAAAATTGTGGTATTTCATATATCCCACTTCAACGGAAAATGGAAACAGAATTGTGAGACAAAAATACCTGCAACCCTAGGGTATTTGTTCGTCGAAACAAATCTATTTCCTTGTGCGCTTATTTTGTTTGTTCTCAGTAAAGCTTCACTTTAGTGTGTTGTTTACTTCGATTTGTATGGGTCATCAACAAATTGATTTCCTTTTACCGGTTCTCAATGGTTAGTTGTCTTACTTGGCTACATGAGTTTAATTTTTTTTACAGTGTATCATAAAGCTGAAATAATAGTGTTGTCTATCTGCGAAAAAATTTCATAGGTCTTGTTCATGAGGTTTTGGTACTCTCAGTCTGAAGCTCATTCATCAATTCAGTTGTCAATGACGGTAGATTAACGAAATAACTCAGATCAAAATTAAAAAAATACTGAGGAGTTATTTTTTGTAAAATAATCTACTACTATTTCACACTCAACCAAACATATAATCAGTGATCTTTAGCCAATATTCTTGATGCTTTTTTACCTAACCAAATATATAATCAGTAATCTTTAGCCAATATTTTTTATGTTTTTTTACCCAACCAAACAACTCTTTTTAACATTACCGATAAACTCAATTTTCCACCATATTATTCCCGTATAAAAAAAAATTTCTCTTGTACCAAACGACCCCTTATCATAGACACATTGTGGTAGGACCCACCACCTAAAAAATTAAAAAGAAAAATATTGTATGATGTGTAGAAAGAAAAACTTACCTCATATAATATAGAAAATAATGATTTTTCTCAAAAAATAATAAATCACGTACCATTTTCCAACAAACAAATAAACAAGAATGTAATACTTGTACGGTCATTAAATATTTAACAGCTACCGCCAGTCTACAACATTGTCTCTACTACTATTACGTATATTTACTTGAAAGAAAAGGGTATTTGAAATATTATTGAATTGTGTATAATCTGTACAAAGGGTTCTCTATTTATAGAGAATACTTGACCTAATTTTGACCTAATGGGCTTGGCCCAATACAACCAATAAATGACTAAATAATAACTAAATAATAATTATTTACAACACTCCCCCTCAAGCTGAGGAATAGATATTTATCATTCCCAGCTTGCTAGTAAGTTCTTGAAATCTGTCTGAAGGAAGCCCCTTTGTTAATAGATCAGCTAATTGACGCCCAGTGGGAATAATTGGAGTGGTAATCAACCCGCTATCAAGTTTCTCTTTGATGAAATGGCGGTCGACCTCAATATGTTTAGTCCGATCATGTTGAACTGGATTATGAGCTATACAAATAGCGGACTTATTATCACATAGCAGCTTCATAGGTCCCTCACATTTTATTTTGAGATCATCAAGTACAATTTTCAGCCACAGTAACTCACAAATGCCTTGAGCCATAGCTCGAAATTCAGCTTCTGCACTTGATCTGGCAACCACATCTTGTTTCTTACTTCTCCATGTCACCAAGTTACCGCAAAGAAACATGCAATAACCAGTGGTAGAACGACGGTCAGTCACAGATCCAGCATAATCAGCATCTGTGTAGACTTCTAAAGATAGATTGCCATCATGTCGGAATAATAATCCTTTACCAGGAGTACCTTTAAGATACTGAAGAATTCTCTCTACTGCCTGCATGTGTTTTTCCTTTGGATCGTGCATAAATTGACTGACAACACTAACAGCATAAGCTAGGTCTGGTCTAGTATGGGCCAGATATATCAATTTCCCAACTAGCCGTTGGTATTGTCCTTTATCAACTGGAGGACTCTCTTCTTCATAGCCCATCTTGTGATTCTGCTCAATAGGAGTATTAGAGGGTTTACACCCGAGCTTTCCTGCTTCTTTGAGAAGATCCAAAACATATTTCCTCTGGCTGATAGAAATTCCTTTGCTTGAATGAGCTACTTCTATCCCTAGAAAATATCTCAGTTTCCCAAGGTCTTTGATTTCAAACTCAGAGGCAAGCCGTGTTTGCAGAATCTGTCTCTCCACAAAATCATCACCTGTGATAATAATATCATCAACATATACAAGGAGCACAGTAAGCTTCCCATTTTGGGAGTGCTTGAAGAAAAGAGTGTGATCTCCTTGACTCTGTCTGTATCCTAAGGTCATCATAACCTTAGTAAACCTTCCAAACCAAGCACGAGGTGACTGCTTCAATCTATACAAGGCCTTTTTTAATCTACAAACTTTATTTTCCCCCTTCACAGAATCAAAACCAGGCGAGATTTCCATGTAGACTTCTTCTTCTAACTCACCATTGAGGAAAGCATTTTTCACATCAAATTGATTTATATCCCAATTGTAATGGGCAGCAAGGGATAACAAGATTCTTACTGTATTCATCTTTGCAACTGGAGCAAAAGTTTCTTCATAATCAATGCCATAGGTTTGAGTGTAACCTTTGGCCACTAATCGAGCCTTGTATCTCTCAAGAGTGCCATCAGAATTATATTTCAGGACATAAACCCATCTGCACCCTACTGCTTTCTTTCCGTTGGGTCTATCAATAACCTCCCATGTTTTATTTTTCTCCAAAGCATTCATCTCCTCTTGCATGGCTTGAGCCCAATTCCTATCTTTCAAGGCTTCATGTACTGATTTTGGGATTGCAATAGAGTCTAGTGCTGAAACAAAGCTTTTGTGCTGCACAGAAAGATTAGCAGAGGAAACAAAATGGGAGATAGGGTATTGAGTACAAGAGGGACAAGATTTCTTGGGACAAGCTCTTTTTCCTTTTCTAAGAGCAATGGGTAAATCATCAGAATTAGTAGTAATGGGTAAGTCATCAGATGTATTAACATCATGATCAGAAATATGAGATTCAGGACTTACTAGTGGTTCAGACGATTGAGGTTGCTGCTGAGACAATGTGGGTTGTTTCCTTCTTTCAGGTGTCATAACCTTCCGTATCTCTGGTGTACTTGATGTATCAATCACAGGAGAATCAGTCACGGGAGGATTGCTCACAAGAGGATCAGACACAGGAGGAACAGACACAGGAGGATCAGACACAAGAGGAGGATACACTGACACAGGTGAAGGAATAGACACTGAAGTTTCAAAGAAGGAAGGTGATGAGTCTTTTGGTGAATTATTCTCCCCCTGAAGATGAGGACCTTGGAAAAAGGACTCAGATTCCTGAAATGTAACATCCATAGAAACAAAAAATTTCCGACTTCCAGGGTGATAGCACTTATATCCCTTCTTATCAGGAGCATATCCAAGGAAGACACATTTAAGAGCCCTAGGATCCAACTTACTGCGATGCTGTTTATGAATATGAACAAAGACAACACACCCAAACACTCGAGGAGGAAGACTTTGCAAAGTTGGAACAGAAGGAAAAAAAGAAGTCATGGAGTGAATAGGACTTACATGATCGAGAACCCGAGTGGGTAGACGATTGATCAAGAACGTTGCAGTAAGAATGAAATCTTCCCAATAGCATTTGGGTACATGTGTTTGAAACAGTAAGGCACGAGCAACTTCAAGAAGGTGACGATTTTTCCTTTCAGCAACCCCATTTTGTTGAGGGGTGTCTACACAAGTAAGTTCATGAATCATACCTTGATTTTGTATAAATTGGGAAAAAGAGTGATTGACATATTCAGTAACATCATCTGTCCTTAGTCTTTTGATTTTTTTACAAAATTGAGTCTCAATCATTTTATAAAATTGAAAGAACAGTTGTGGTACCTCAGACTTTTCACGCATTAAGTAAACCCAAGTTACACGAGTGCAATCATCAATAAAAGAAACAAACCATTTATTTCCAGAAGAATGAGGGACCTTAGAAGGACCCCAAACATCAGAATGAATAAGATCAAAAGGTTCAACACTCTTAGTAATACTAGAAGGAAAAGACACACGATGATGCTTAGCAAATTCACAAACATCACAATGAAAAGACTCAACAGACTTAGACAAAAACAATGACGGAAATAAAGATTTGAGTAAACTAAATGGAGGATGACCCAAACGCTTATGATGCAACCAAATTAAAGAATCAGCAGTTGATTGACCATGAGACATGAATGTGTGATCTGTTACTTTATTTGTGGGAGATTGTGACACCAGATAGTACAGCCCACCTTGCTCTTTAGCACTACCAATCGTCTTCCCCGTGGCGAGATCCTGAAAAACACAATAGGTAGGGAAGAAGGTTACAGTACAATTCAAATCTTTTGTAATTTTGAATAGAAAGAAGATTCGTGGAGAGTTTAGGAACATGAAGAACATCCTTAAGATGTAAGGACTGCTGTAAGTTTATGTCACCAGAACCCGCAACTGATGTATGAGAGCCATCAACTATGGATATTGTATGAGTTCCACTGGTAGGATGATAAGAAATAAAGGAGTCAGCACAACAAGCCATATGATCAGTAGCACCAGAATCAACAACCCAAGAATGTTTAAAATCATTACATTAAGAAATGAAAGAATGAGTTTTGGAGCTCATACCAGTCATAGCCAAAGCACTAGTATCAGATGACTTACTCAGATAATCAAGAATGGTTCGGAGTCGTTCCAACTCATCTGGACGAAATGCAGATTGGGTCTCATTAGGTGCAGGGGTTATTTCAGAAGAAGTAAAATGCGCTTGACCACGCATCCTTGCCATCTTTTCTAAGACAGTTTGCTTTCCATAAAGGCGAAAGCATAAATCCTTGATATGACCTATTCTTTTACAATAAGAACACCATCGGTCATCTCTCTTAGGTCTAGAAGAGGTACCATCATAAAATTTTAAAAAAGAACTCCTTTGAGAAGAGGCCATACTGCACAGAAAATGGTTAAAGAAAAGCTCCAAGAAGCCAAAAAATCACAAATAAATACCAAACGATGTTCGATCAAAGAGAGGATCACAGATCTAGAAAGAGGATGAGGAGAAGATCAGAAAACTTTTTGGCCGGAGCTGGAAAAAGTGTCCAAAACGCGATGAACAGTAGCGGCCTTGTGTTGTTTTGGGAAGATCCGATCGTCAAACGATTATAACACGTCCGTAAGCTGATAGATCAGAGAAAAAGGATTTGAAAACTGGTCCTCTTGGTCCAAAAGGTCCACCGGAAAAATTTTCCGGTGGCGACTAATGGCGGCAAGAGGCTAAGAAAGAAGGTTTCTATTTTAATGGAGGTAATTGCGGAAGCAGAGCCCTTTGGATCGAGAGCTCTGATACCAACTTGAAAGAAAAAGGTATTTGAAATATTATTGAATTGTGTATAATCTGTACAAAGGGTTCTCTATTTATAGAGAATACTTGACCTAATTTTGACCTAATGGGCTTGGCCCAATACAACAAATAAATGACTAAATAATAACTAAATAATAATTATTTACAACATATTTCAATACTAGCAAGAGTGAGACTCCAACACAAATATTATACTTAGTAAAAGTAGATTATAACTCTGGGTGTATACCACTGAGACCCAACCACTTGAAGAGAGTGAGTTTTGATGAAACTATCTATATTACATGGGATTACATTTAGTCATGTAACATAACTAGAGGCATTTTGTCATGCAGAGACATAAAAGTGGGCTCCATATATTTAAAAAACAATAAAATTAAACAGGAAAGAAAGCGCATAGTTCTATGTCTGTGCAGGAAACAAATTTTTTTTCCTGCGACAGCACAGATACATTTCCCATATTACATATTCATTTTCATTTAAGTTTATCAGCAAGTTTGATCTCAAAAGCAGCAAACAATATATATGGATAGGAGCTGCAGAATTTACCACACAAAAAAAAAAAGTCCTCATATCTAACACTCTTTCCATGCATTTGATACATCTTTCCCTTAACATCTATACCGATTCTGTGACTCTTGTTAGCTGTTGGACAATAAGACAGAAACATTAGCAAATATTTTTTATTGACACACAAAGTAATGCAAATGCTTTGCACAAATAAAAAAGGGTAATGCAGATGCATTAAGGGAAAACAAGAATTTAATACTGCAACATAGTGGCAGTATAGCTGCTTCTACATTAATTAATTACTATTTCCTTTTTGGGTTTATCAATTACATGCCTTGGAATATAATAATGTATGTGTTGGTAAAGGAACCGGAAAAATGAAAATACATTGGTGAACGAAATTTAAAAGTACTTACTTGAGAGAAATAATTTCTACTTTCTTTTGCGCTTTTGAGACTTCAATTGCCTGATAAGGTACTGGATAATTTCTTTCAAAGTGGCTTTCCTTCCCTCCTTCCAGTTCCAAATTTCAGGGACTGGATATCTTCCACTTGAATTGTATTCTTCTATTTCCATTAAAGCATTTGCTACAGCCTTGTATACCTCTCCACCATACTCATTCCTCAGTCCTTTCAATTTTTCATCATTTTCATCTAATTCCTGAAATTATCAGAAATCTCAAAACAGTTACACCACCTTGTTTTATGTAGCATTTGAAACAAATCACCATTATTAGAAAAATATTTTAAAATGGAGGGTTCCAATACAAAAGCAACCTTCATTTAAACCATCAGCAACAAATATTTATCCCTATTAGTTTACATATACATGTCTTCCATCAATCACAAGTCACAACAGCTCTCTTTCTAACTTTGACCCACCTCAGATCATATATACATACTTTTGACAACACTTAAGCCACAAATCAAGTCATTGAAATTCTATGGATCTTTTAGAACTGCTACTCATTCTACATTCTGACAACCATTCAATTCATTGCCCAAGAGTTATTAGTAGACAGTTATTATTTGTTGCATTTGTTGAGCCTAATTCTTCTTCAAGAGGGTCATCCTCTCGTTAGATTTACAGAATTATTTGACACATCGTGCAATTTAGCAAATCTCAAATGCTTCCCTGTTCAGGCCATGATATCAAAGAGTGCTCATATAATGTCAAAAGATTAAATACTTATATGCCCCTCATATGATCTTTTCACATTTATTCAGTTAATAAAGATAAGAGTAAACACCCCTTTTAGTCCCTGTCAATATCTACGAAGTCCTTTTTAGTCCCTGGCAATAAAAAAGGACCAAATTGGTCCCTGAAATTACAAAAAAAGGATCATGTTAGTCCTTACGTCAACTCCCAAATATGTAGAGTGGCCCTTTTCTTGTACTTTCAGGGACCAATTTGGTCCTTTTTTATTGTCAGGGACTGAAAAGGACTTCGTAGATATTGCCAGGGACTAAAAAGGGTGTTTACTCTAAAGATAATAACCATTAGATGCAAAGTGAAATTTATAATCATGTACCTGCGAATTGCCATTGACCTCGATTCTTTTGAAAGGATGCCAAGCTGGATTATTCAGATTCTCTTCCCATGATGAACATAATTTAGCAGATATATCCTGCCATTGTTCATGTGAGTACCTCTGCAAGCACAAATCTCGAAAAGGTTTTGGATCTAATTCTCCCATTCTTTTAATTCGTAGTTGAGATCGACCTCTGCATATATCTTGTAAACTCTACAAGGAAAAACGATGAGATGAGTGGTCATGCTATTTTACACCTTGCATCTGTTATGAAGATAGATTTTAGCAAGATAGTATTTCACTGTGGTAGATCAATCACAGAATGTCATTACAATGTGGCAGAAAAACTAAAAAATGAGGGATAAAATCTTACATTTACAGATTCTTCACGAGCATCAAGTAGTTCTTGTTTATACTGGCGCTCTTTAACTATCAGGGAACTGTAAAGGTTGTGCAAATGCTCCAGGTCTTCCATTTTGTCCTTCAATTCATTTCTAAAAGCAGTAATTTGAGTGTTCAAATTACCACCACTCTCTACATGACTCTGATCTTGTAATTCAAATCTCAACTGTGACAGGAAGAAAATCATTCAACGAGGATAACAAATTGAATAGAAGTTGGAAGCATTCAGGCAGACAACCATAATGAGCATCACAATGTAGAAAATTTATACATTAAATAAAAAGAAAATTCAAATAAAATTTTCTCATATTATTAGTGATTGTGCAGCATGTCTTAATGAAGTAATGCTCTTAACTAAAGGAAGTCAAAGCATTCAAATAGTATTTGTTGAGATATATAGTCTCACATTGGTTGTATGTGCAACTAATGTGGTCTTTATAAGGTCTTGGGCACTCCCACCCTTTGAGCTAGCTTTTGGGGTGGTGACCTCAAGGGTCTTAACAGTATTTATCGCATTTAACATGTAAGACAGTAACATGTGAATTGCAATTCAACAAAAAGGGCAAAAAAAGAGAGTTGCAGACAATTAGGGTGTGTATGGTAACCATTCTGTTACCTGGCACTGTTTCTGAAAAGAAACAATTCTTTTCTATTTCTGTGCCTGAGAACAATTTCTGAGAAAAAAATGTGTTTGATAACATGTTTTATTTTTATTCCGAGAATGAGAATTGCGTTTGATAACACAACAAATAATAGAATAAAAAATCATTCCTATTAAGCATAAATTTTTTTCAGATCATCACTTTCCTTTTCATATGGTGTAGTGGTGATGGTGGCGGCGGCGGCGGCGGTGGTGGAGGTGATGGCATGGTGGTGGTAATGGTGGTGGCGGCTGTGGAATAGTGGTGATGGCATGGTAGCAGCGGCGGCGACGGTGGTAATGGTGACAGCGGTGACAGTGGTAATGGTGCTGGTAGTGGTGTGGTGGTGGTGACGGTAGTAGCTACGGTGATGGTGGCGGTGATGGTGATGGCAGTAGTGGTGGTGATGGTGACGACATGGTGGTGGTGCCAATGACGTGATAATGGCAGTGGTGGCAGCGGTAGTGGTACTGGTGGTAGTGGTGGCATAGTGGTAGTGGCGGCGGTAGTGGTGGTGACGGCGACGATGGTGGTGATGATGACATGGTGGTGGCGGTGGCGGTGGTGTAGTGGTGGCGATGGCGGCGGCGGTGGTGGTGGTGGTGACAGCAGTGTCTACGACGATGGTGATGGAGATGACATGGTGGTGGTGGTTGCGGTAGCGACAATAACGGTAGTAGTGTTAGCGTGGTGGTGGTGGTGGTGTTGGCAATGGCTACGATGATGGTGATGGTGATGGTGGTGGTGGTGGTGATAATGGTGGTGATGGTGATGGTAATAGTGGTGGTAGTGGTGGTGGTGGTGGTGATAATGACGGTGGTGGTGACGTGGAGGTGGTGGTGGTGGTACGATGATGGTAGTGGTGAAGAGTAATTGAGAGAGATAAGTGTTTCTAATTCTGTACCCAGAATCAAAAAAGCAGAAATTTTTTGATTCCTTTCCTGTTCCCCAGAACAAAAAATAAACCGGTTCATCCTGGGAACAAAAAAATAAATCGATTTTACCAAACGAGTTTCCTATCCATTTTTGTTCCCGGGAACAGAAATTAAAAAAAAATTGATTCCGAGTAGGTTGTCATGCACACCCTTAGAGACTCAAAGTAGCAATACAAAGGAAACTAAAGTTAGCTGATGCCTAAATATGTAAAATATGCTTATGATGATTATATAAATATTTCCGATTTCAGTTTCAGATTTGTGAGTTCTGTTTTTGTTGCTTTTGACAATTTTATTTTATTTTTTTGATTTTTTAAATGACACTGCTACCTAGCTTGCCAGAAATTGAGCAGGGCATCATTGAATTGAAACAATTTCTTTACCATGAATTTTAACAGATGGCATGTCTGTAACTACCATTCTCTTTTCTGTTTTTTCCTTCCAGCTGTCCAGGCAGTTATTCTAAATCAAGTATATATGTATATACTATTGCCATTTATGTTTCACATCTAAATGGAAGTTTAGAATTCCTAAGATTCTAAAGACTGTATAACTAGTCTTTCTTCAGAATCACTGCCACATTAGCAGAAATTGCTTCACATTCTTTTACCATTTTGAATAGAAAATATAGCTGCAAAATAAGTATTTTGATTTGAAGATACGGATGGAGCAGAAGTTATCTTCCTGGGAACCATCTCAGCTTGTTTTGCTCAAAATTGGCACTCAGTGTGATAAAAGTAACTCAAATAATCCTTTCTTATTAAATGCTAAATTAAAGACAGAAAATGCCTAAAATCCAAATTTCATGCAAGTAAGTGGAATTAAATTGCTACAAGAAATAGACTTGGGGGCTGATCATAGAAAACCAAGCCACACAAGCTTCCTATTTTTGATTCACACATCTAAAGGGCCTGACTGTTACTGACCTTTTGAATCTCCTCAATAAAGTTTCTCTGCTGTTGATCATTTAAGGCTTTACTCTCCTCCAATTGCTTGGTAAGCTTCCCAAGCTCTTTCGTTAGACCTTCCATGTCATGATTCATATTAGAGTTCATGACCTTCATATGTTGTAATTCTAGAAAAATAAAGCGTAAGTTGAGCATAAGAAAATGTAGGAAACATACACAAAAAATTCCAATGATATTCTAAAAGCAACTCATAGTGCAGAAGTAAGCCAGTGTATGGGAGAAATTAGTATATCACATACAAAAGTTTAGAGATGGAAGATTAGGTGTTGAATCCTAAGGGACAAATGAATGCAATCCTGAGTCTTGTGGTTAAAATAGCTTTCTTACAGAAACAAATGACTTCATGGCAAAAAGCAGTTTCAAAACAAAATCAAGTACGGACTCCATGTAGAATTTGCAAATAAAAGTGCTTATATATTGAAGAAAATTTTAAATTCTAGAAAGTTTTCCAAAAGAAAAGATCCATCACAAACATATAACACTTTGACCTTCCAACAGCAAGTTTCAAATATTTAGTGGTTCCCTTCTATCTTGAAACATAAAAATACCTTTGTGACATCCCTCATGCAGATTATCTAATTCAATGTACTTGCATTCCATTTCAAGCATACTTCTTTCTTTGGAATTAATATGCTCCGTAAGCCCTATAACGAGTTTGTGCACAGCAGCAAGTGTCTCCCTATGTTTATGCTCCATCTCCATTATCTTGTTGTTCTTGTACTCTATTTCATTCTGAAGGTTCCCAATAATCACTCTCTGCATGTTCAGAGCCTCCATTTAGATACAATTTCTAAGTGCCTGCATATATGTATATATTGTTGTAAATAATAGTAGTATAGAAGTCCCATATCATATATATCTTTTTGTATTTTCTTTTTTTTAAGTTATATAATAAATTCTCCGCTGTGTAGTTAAGACACACGGATGATTTACAAATCTTCTTGTTCATGATATTCAACATATATATATAAAAAAAAACTCAAATTATTTCCTTTTATTCCAAAAATCTTATGTCAAATGAAAATGGAGAGGTGGGAAGGATTCATGATCACAAAAATTAAGGAAATTGCCTAGTCAATGCGACTCACAAGCAAGAACTCAAAAAACTTAGGGAAAGTTATGAACTTTTAGTAATATGCAAGCATAAAATTGAAATGGGGAGGGGCTGTGACTCCACTTCTAATAGAAAAAGAAGATTCAATCAAACGTATATGACAAAGCTCATGTTTTGATGCTGCCACTTGGAGAACAGTCCCAAAATCACACATATCATTCTTTATATATCAAATGAAACTCATAAAATTGAAGAAAAGAAAGAAAAAAGATTAAAATGAACACAAATATAGAATACAGACATCAAAATGCTTTGAGAACTGAAGGTTGTTTTGTTTAGACAACGAAAAAAATGAAAGCTTTGAGAACAAGCAAGAGAAAAAAACCCAAAATTGGAATGGTTCACAGTTCACACATTCCACATGCAGCTGACACGAATTCCACTCTGTAGTACTGTACATCTTTTTTGTTTTTGTTATGTATATCAATTGTTTATTTAAACTTTAATATTATTATATTAATAATGATAAATAATTCTCAAGTACCCAATGTTATTTCGGTTAGTCAAGGTATTGCTTGCATTTAGGTAGTTTTGGTAGAAGATTTATTTTGGGATTGATAAGAAAGTGTAAGTGAATATTGAAAAATATCACGTTTGGTTTAGGTTTTTGAAAAAGATACTAGACAATTAGGATAGATGGGGAAATGACTTTTGTGTTAATTTTTGAATGAAATTCACTGTTACAGAATACCACTTGAGATGTGGTATTTTGAGATAATTGGGAAGTGAAAAAAACAGGTGCGAAGTTTTTCTTGAACATAGATTTTGCAAATTTAAATAAATTTTCCTGATAATATTTTGGTCAACCAAACAACTTTTTTTACATTTTTGATTTTCCTACTAAACTCATTTTCCAACCATTTTCCTAATAATTACATTTCCTTAGTATTCAAAAAATTTCTCCTCAACCAAACACCCCCTTAATGTCTCGTTGTCATTTGTTTAACTGGTTTATCCAAATAAATATATTATAAATATATATATATAAATTTATATTTTATATTTAAAATTTCATAAAATAGTTTAAATACTTAAATATACATATATGTTTGTTGCAATTAAGGGATTTGAGTTTTTAATAGCTGTGTAAAAACATAACATTTCATTATTTTTATTTTTTTATTTTTTAAATTACATGACTCATTAGTTCAATCGGTTTTTGCCAAAAAAAAATGCCCTAAGTCGAATCGGTTCTCACAAAATCTATTATATAACCCTTCAATTGCTCATTCGGGCCGGATGTATCACCAATTTAATAATTTTCGGATGAACCATACCGGTTCCAGCCGGGTTTAATGAATAGAAGTAACAAATTTATTGGGCTCACTTTGTACGTAAAACACTTTAATATTAACTAGATTAATTTTAATATGCTTATTGTGAAATCATAAGACGGAACTTAGGCTATTTATTAGATCATTAAAGTTAATTTTAATTTTATTAGCTCAAAAAGAGAAAATGAGTACCAAAAATAATAATTTCGTCAAACTTAAATTCATGTTCTGCATAGACAGCTAACTGGAAGATTGTCATCATTTTGAGTCACAATTCACAACTCAAATAATAAGGTTTGCTGTGAGAGCAATCAACAAAATAAAATAGGCAAAAATTAGGGGGAAAATCATATTAAAAATTTATTGTTATTGCTTTATTTAGTTCCTTATTAATATTTTTAAAATCAAATTACTTAATTCATTAATCTTATTTTGAAAAAAAAATGCCAACGATCACGGCGCGTGTGCATTGGATATATTGTTCCAATTTTTTTAAAGCGAAAAAGTAAACATAATAAATTTTTTGTTGTTAACAACATTAAGAAAATATGAGAAACTTTGTGAAGAGTAATGGCTTTGATAATATTCCAAGTATTTATTTAATGTCTATCATGTAATCACATGATAAGGTTACCTAAAATCTTATCATGAGAACATTGTTCTTATTGTGACTGAAAATTGATATTCTCATGTGACTTACTTGACAATAAACAAAAAAAAAGTGTTAATAGTATACAATAAAAAACAAGGGCACTTATACTTTTCCACATATTTCACACAAAACATCATCTTCATTTTTTCTTTTTCCTCTTCCACCCTACCAAGGGCTCTAAGTTCGTTTTCCCCATTCCCGTTTCTATCTGAGCATACACCTTTTGGAAAAAGAAAAAGAAAAAGGTGTTGATTGTTTTGCACTATATATATATATATATATATATGGAAAAAATTACTCTTATGCAGAAGTAATTTATCTCCAATAGACTCATCGAAAACCATGCACCTTTTTTTCTTTTTTTTCTTTGTAAATTGTAGGTCCCACCACACATGTATCTATAACATGAGAGAAGATCTCTCATGTAATATGAGATTAGATTAACCCAATATATATTAAATTTGGGAAAAAGAACTATAATTTTAAAGGATATAAGTTGTGTCATTTAAGTGATGATTTACACAAAGTATGACCGGTCATACTTTGTGTAAATATGAAAAGTTATTTTTTTTTCTCTACTCAGTCACATAGCTGACATGTCAAGTGAAAAAAACAACTTTTAAATTTACACAAAGTATAACTGGTCATACTTTGTGTAAGTCACTAAAAGGACACAAGTTGTGTCCTTTTAAATGACGCACACTAAACCCACTAAATTTTGGGCATATGGCTCGTAAGTAGACATATTCCCACATTGCTTCTTTCTTTACTTTATTACATGATTTTATATCCTAGAAATATCTTCATTTTGCAAAAATAAGTTCATCTCCTTCTCCATTCCTTTTGTTGGGAAATTTCTACAATACTCCTATTCCATTCACTTTTTCATACATCCCTCCAATAAAAATCAAACATCAAGGTTAATACAATAACATGCAAGAAAAAAAAAACTTTGTTAAATACAAGTATTTGTGAGTAGTAGTAGTACATACTACCGTAATATGGAAAGTGCACTCCTTTTGTTGATAGTTAAGATTTAGGACTTTACTTCTCTCATGTTGTAGGAGAAAAGTTATCTTATATTGTGAGATAAATTAAGAGCCTATTTGGATCCTCTTATTTTTAAGCTAGAAGCTACTTATAAGTTAAAGTTAAAAAAAAGAGCTTAAAAAAAAAGCTAAAAGCTGTTTGGAAAATACATAAAAAATTTAGCTTAAAAATTAATTAAAAGCACATATTTCAAGAAAATTATCTCTCTCTCTATCTTTATCACTCTTCATTTTAAAAAAAAGCACACAATTCAAGAAAAACAGATAAGAGCTTAAAAAAAAGCTCCTCCTAAAAACTTTTAGTTTTCAGCTTTTTTCTACATTATTAAAAAAAGAATTTTTCGTTATAAGAACTTTTTCCAAAACCTGTTTGGCCTAGCTTATGCTTATAAGAAGCTTCTAGCTTAAAAAAGAGAGGATCCAAACAGACACTAAATGGAGCCCATCAATTTTACTAAATGGAGCCCATCAATTTTTAAAAAAAGAAAAGAAAAGAAAAAGTGAGGTACGTCTTTTTATGTGAGTATAACATGAGAGATAAATCTTATGTAACGTAAGAGTATCATATCCCTAAGATTTATATCCGTTCTTCCCCCAACAACCGTAGCACTCAATCATGAAAATTATTAAGGAAAGAGAGAGCACAGATCTAAACCTAGGAGAAAAATTTAAAATCATATTATAACACCAAGTCATCTTTGACCTAAAGAATTTAGTTTTCAAACCTTGTCCTCCTTCCTCTTGTCTGTTATTTTGTTTTCCATGATCTGTCTGGAGAAATTTCTGTGTTTCGTGTTATAAAATTATACAGCTATTGTAAGGTTAGTTTTCTGTTAAAAAATTAATGCTAATATTTATAAATTCTATTTTCTGTCAGAGAACTCATGCTGTTGTTTGTAAATTCTGTTTTTGTTAGCAATTTATATTTCTGTTTACAGATTCTGATTTCTGTCAAGGAATTATGTTGCTATTAGAGTATTCTGTTTGTTGTGTGAGTAAGCAATGCTGTTTATAATCAGTTTGATCAATGTCCAGTACACTTTAAACGGGCAAGTAAAATCATCTTAAAAACATTACCAGCCAAATAGTTTAAATATGAAACAATCATAAAATTGGACCTCGTTGAATACATGCTCTTGCAAATTAATTAATAAAAAAAGAAAAACTTAAATTAATTCCTTTCGAAACTTCCTGCAGCTCAGCATTACGCTTACGCTCTTCAATGATTGGTGTTTGGTTCAACTCATCTAAGTTTTGAAGTGACTGATCCTTTTCTCTTAAAATCATATAAAGAATCTACCTTCTTCATAACTTCTGCATCTTCATCATCTTCCATGTGCTTCAAAATATTTAGTGATACTTCTAGTTGCTGAATCTCCAATTCTAGTTTTTGTTTCATATCCAGATGTTTATCAAGCTGAACGATTTTAACATGAAGTTGTTCTTTTTGCTTCTGTATAAATAGATATTCAAATAACATTAATACTAGGCTATTCGGATGTTGACAAGGACACTTTTGCTCATTAACAAAGCCTAAAGACAGGTAACACATACCTTTTGATCTTCAGCCAGTTTCAAAACATTTTCATCATTGTTCTGTTGTTCCAAAGCAGCCATCTGAAGAGAGCTACTTTCATTGCATTCTGCAAAGACAATATATGCCAACATTGTTGAGCAAAGTATTCTAC